TCTTCCACTTGGTGCTGCAATCGCGGAGGAAAATTAGGAAGAGCGCTAACATTCGTTGGGGAAATATTCGCGCGCAGACTCGCAACTTGCATTTCAGTTTCGAAACATGCTAAAATGACTCACAACAGTTTCGCCTACTCGTTAATTCGCCAGGCGCGTAAACGTGCTCGCGTACCAAAGTTGCACGGAAGTTTCGATACTTTCGCGCGGAGTAATCTGGCGCTTGGTTGCGCCATCCCATCGCCGGTCGTCGTCGTCATCGTCGTCGACGACGACGACGACGACAAGAATGGTTAATGAAGAGGTTTGTTATACGCCTGCTATGCGGAATACCTTTCGGGAAGACGTAGCAGCAGTGGGATATCGTTAACGTGGCGCATACTATCAGCAGCAGCAGCAGGGCGTGCGTTATCGTTGTACGCGAGTGTCGTCGGCTGCCGCCGCCCTTTCCTCTGCAAATCAAATCCGCCATCCGACAGCCCGACGTCGCCGTTCGCGACGCGCAATTATTCATTCCGCTCCTTCGAGAGTGTCTCTCCCTCTCTCTCTCTCTTTCTCTCTCTCTCTGTCTGTTCCCTCTTCTCGTCGGAAAAGCGAAACGACCACCGCGCGATATCTGCGCGAGTTTGAATGGCACGGGAATTATTCCGCAGTCTCGTGGCACACGCACATGCATATGGCAAAGCAGAGCAGATATGGAAATAGAAGAAAGTGGATCTCTACGCTATATGTGTATGTGTGTATGTCTGTGCGGATAGTAGCGGTGTCAATTAGGAACGGTAATTGGAAATTCAAATCGTGCAAGGATGTAAATTGTAAACGCTCGGTAAAAGCGCCATTCGGATTATTAACGAGAAACTAATGATTCCTATGCTTATACATTTTGTTATCACCGCCATTATCGTTGACGAACGGCACTTATCGTCTGATCCAAATAGATTGAATCGATATCGTTGAAATTTCAATGGTTTCGAGTCTCGTGGCACACGCACATGCATATGGCAAAGCAGAGCAGATATGGAAATAGAAAGTGGATCTCTACGCTATATGTGTATGTGTGTACGTCTGTGCGGATAGTAGCGGTGTCAATTAGGAACGGTAATTGGAAATTCAAATCGTGCAAGGATGTAAATTGTAAACGCTCGGTAAAAGCGCCATTCGGATTATTAACGAGAAACTAATGATTCCTATGCTTATACATTTTGTTATCACCGCCATTATCGTTGACGAACGGCACTTATCGTCTGATCCAAATAGATTGAATCGATATCGTTGAAATTTCAATGGTTTCGATATAATTAGCTTTTTACAGAAGGCGTAAAGAAAGATAATTCACAGCTTGAATGTGTGTTGTATTACATCGCGGCTCATGCCGATCAATTTCGTACAAGCCCCGTGACGTTAAAAACGGATCTCTCTCGCTAAATGATGTAAATTGAATAGTAGTTAAGTTTCGCCGTCTATTTAATCCTCTTCGCTTTTACCGGCGAGAGCTCGCGCGCGTTTTGTTTCCTCGCGTAATCAGTGATAACGATGCAAAGCGCCGGAACGGCGTCATTACGAGCGTCGAAAGCCAGTAGCCGGATGATTGATCGCGGCCTCGTTTGCATTCAATAACTCCCCGTCGGTGTATTTTCGATTTGGCATTCACCGCAACCTGATTATCGTCGTTAATGCATTTAATTCGCCGATCAGTCGTCGCGCCGCTTCTGGCGATGCATTATTAATCGTCGGTATGACAAACGCAATTAGCGGTCGCGTATTTCGCGCGTCTGTTCGAGTTGCGAGTCGATTTGCTTCTAATATCTCGTTTTTATAATAAATTTTCTCCCGTGTATAAGTCGCGAATCGAGTAAAACACAAGAGAACAGGTGAAATTTTACGTTATATCATGTGTAAAATAACAGGGGTAATATAAGGTAATATAAAATACAGGGTAGTAATATAAGTAGTAGAAGCATTCATCTATACGGCAAGTCTTCTAAGAACATGCAGAGTATAAAATATGGATACAGCAAACAATTATAAGGAGCGTATGCAAACTCTAAATATATAAGCGCAGCATCTTTAAATCAATCATTACATAAGAAACATTAAAAATAGAATCAGAAAGCATTTAGCGTAAATTTGACAATATTCTTACGAGGCTACGAGTAACGCGAAATAATTGGAGTGATCGACAAGAAAAGTATAAAATCAATATTTCATCATGACAATATCTAAAGTACGATTTTATTTTTGCTAACTTTTTATTTAAATGGAATTCAGCATAAAAGCTCGTAAAATATACTGAGCGAACTTTCGATATCCTAACGGAAGAAGAGGATCTAAAGGAGACTTTTCGAACAACTATCCCACGCGCAAAAA